TCACCAGCATCATCATCAGCATCACCAGCATCATCATCAGCATCACCAGCATCATCATCAGCATCAGCCTCATCATCATCACCACATCACCCAGGCTATAAACATCGGGATTCAGCAATAATGGTCATCCCCCCTAGAAAGGTACTTGCACCTGCTGAGTCTGGATGCAAGCGTGGTCCGAGTTGGCTCCCCCCCCGCGCCAATGAGCCCGTGAGGCACCGTAGTGACGAAGCCTGGTGCCTTCGCACTGCCGCTCGTTGACGATGAATGGCGAGATATATCCCTTCTGTTGGGAGGGTGTGCGTGAGTACCAGGGGGGCGGATATTAATGGCCAGAAAAATCGCCCAAATGATCAATAAAATGCTCTTTAAATGTTTTTAAAGAGCCCTAAAAGCAAAGAAAAATTATGTAAAATATGTGATCAAGAGAGATTCTCTATAAATGTGTCGGATGGCATTCTGGACGTGCTTTTAACACTTCTCACTTCTTTACATTTAGATTTATTTGGTCAAAAAACAACAACAGTAAAAACTGTATGTGAGAGGAGAAGATTATCTGCGCACGTTTCCTTGACTTCCAGAATTCCCTCCCGTCATTTTAACTATGAATAGTTGAAAGATTAGTAAAAGTTAAACATAAATTAAAATAAATTTTAAAAAATCGCGAGATTACCAATATTTAAAAAAAAGACTTCTTACCCGATTGCTTGGGTAATGAAAGACCGCGTTAATGCTACCGGAGTCGAGGACAGTGAAGACATTCTTAGGCTCATTGAAGCGTGACGGCAGAAATGAAGGTAGTACATGTCTGCTTGAGTGCGTCGCGGCACAGATGACTTCCTTGCATTTACGTAGGAGGAGGCCATTTTGAACACTTGTAGATCACCTGTTGCACGAGGTGAATTTATGGCTGTATACTCTGTAATGTGATAAACTATCCTAAATAACTCTTCAATAATAGTTTTTCTCCTTGTATTATTCTGTAGATAAGAAGGCAATAATAACAAAAGAGAATAATATTTAATATAATATTTAGGCTCCCTTTCTTGAAAAAAATAACAAATAACAATAAACTTTCATTTTTCAAAATTTTGAAAAGGGTTTACACTATTTCCTTATGCAGTCATGGATAACTTACGGCCCTGTATCACCGAATCATGTATGAGAAACGAGAACTGAATCATCCTATGTATGTATGCACACAGTTTGTACAATTGTAGTAATAAAACATAGCAATTAGCAAGGTGGCATACGGTATAGAATATTATTAACACAAGCATTAATTGAAATGAAAATATTTCCTTGTTTCGTAGGCTCCTGCGATCATGTACTTGACGAGAGGGAGTCTTCTTCTGAAGCGTTTTAATGAACTTCTGGGGCTCATAGCACAGTCCGGATTCATCGACCATTGGTACGTCGTGTTCATAAGCCATTTTCACATGTTAGTACTCAATACTTGCGACATAAAGGAGATAAAGCACACTATTATATTAGTTTAGACATACTTAATTCTACAAAGAAAAGTTTGCCAATTCTGCTTCAATACATGATTTCAGAGTAACGAAAAATATTTCACCGCTTCATTTTAATTTGACTTGTACTGGTGTGACTTACAAAGGAAATAGAATAGCATGAAATTAAATCATAATGTAGCACTCTTTCTTTCAATCTAAAAATATATTATTGAGATGAAATATCTCAAAGAAACAGTAAAGATTAGATATGGAATAGTTAAATATTTTCATGGTTTTGCAATTTATCAGGAAAAATATATTTCCGGATAAGTTGATATTTTTATGTTAAACCTAATAAAGACACACACATGAGGATAGTGGGTTTAACGAATAGAGCAACTCATCGAGGCATTATAATTAATGTTATTATTAATATTTCTATTTTTATTAGTTTTTATTATCATCATTATTATTAGTATTATTTCGTAAGGCATTTATTGCAGATATTAAACACCTGATATATTATGTGATGTAACTGAAAGTCTTGAACCAATTGCAGTCTATCGTGCCCTTTTCTAAGATAATGGCACCTGATACTTATCCAAGTGAATTTCTCCTCTTCCTCAAAGCCGAGGAAAAGAGACAAACAACGAGAGGAAGAAGAAAACCTGAAAGGGGAAAAGCCTTCATGAGTATGTATAACTCACCAGTCGATATTTGGTTAATACGTGCACGGAAATATCGTTGGTGAAAGCTCCCAGAAAGGACTTCCCCTATGAAATAATCATCTAAATCTGAAAGTTCGCAGCATTTGTCAGAATTAGCTACGAGCTACCACAATTTACACTGGTTTATAATCGCTGGATTTGAGATTTTTTCATTTCACAGTGATTGAAAAAGTGCGCCACCGGGGTCGCAAGTGGGAGTAGTGGACAGGCACCAAAACGATATCAAGCCGCCCGAGTGAATTGACCCTAGAATAGTCGCACTTGTAAACTCCATGGCATGTGTAACGTCTCAATCGCCAGAGCGACACAGTTACGTTATCGACTTTCGGTCGATGGATTCTTCTTTGAGAATCAATGGTCTTTCTCAATTAAAACATAAATGATACATTCATTTCAAATTAATATTAATACAAATACATTTCAAGGCTTCTGTCTTACAGTTCACAAGTTACAACTTCTTAAACACATAAAAGTTATTACTGCTACAATTTCCTTCATAACATGCAGACATTTGCATAAACCCACATTCCAGTGTATCTAAGAATCTATCCTACTTGTCTCTACGACTTAGCAAAGCATTCTTCTTGTTTATTTAGAGCAGGGATACACACCTTCACTTGCATTAACTCCTTTTGAAATAATGATATACTTCGTCAATCCCTCTTTCTTATATATACAACATCCAAAATTAGCATAATACAAACAATGCTACATGAATTACTTGATAACAATTACTTACAGAGAATAAAAGTTTTGAAAAACAGTTTAATAGGTTTATATTTTATTATTATTGTACCGCTATAATTTCCAAATTTTAGAAATATAAATAAATATTATTAGATGTTTTGTACCTTTATAAAAGAAAACTGTAACTTCATTTATAGTTTTTTTTGTAATCAATAGCATCTTGATTTCTCAGATAAGTATCAGTACGTATTCGGCTATCGACACTCAATCGCCCATTTGAACTTCATTGACCCCCTTTAAAATTCTATCGCCCCCCCCCTAGGGGTCGATACCAGCCCACTGGCCAACAAAATCAAAATACCTCATTGCTAGAAGAAGATAACCGGCAACGGTAAACCGCTACGTTTCACTGGCGCCAAGTTTACTGTTGCCTCCAGGCGGCAGCCGTGATATTATTAGTGATAGCAATTATTAGTGTCAGCGAAACATCGATACTTGTATTTATCAAAAAAAGTTTTCGATGTTGGTAAAACATCGATGTTTAAATACCTATATTTTGAATATGATGAAACATATCGAAGTAAAATGTCTCAGTTCTGTGATACAAAACACGTTAATATTAGTTTAATGGGAATTCTGCCTTAAATTTGGCTGTTATCTTAATTTTCTAATCAATTTTCTATGCAGCCAACGTTCAAAAGGTAGTTTAACAAAATTACCACGTAAAACAAACAATCGAAAAAAAGGTAACATCACAGGAGGAATGCGTCTCTAATAGCAAACGGTTTCGTGTTGTCTGGTGATTGACAACAATGACAGTTGTGACTGGCTGTTGGTTGCGAGCAATAAAAAAGAAAAGCTGGAAATTTTATTTCGTGATTATCACGTGATATATCGAGAACATTTGCTTTCCGAAAACATTTATTTTTCTGAACAAATGTATCGAAAGCAAAACATCAATATTAAAATATCGATATTATTATCGATATTAAAATATCGATGTTTGTGCTCTGAAATACCGATGCCGGCTGTCTTTCGCCAGTGGAGCGTTGAGCGGCAGATGGAGCGGAGGCGCGAGAGGAGCGGCGACGCGTGGCGGCGGCGGCCGGGGCGGGGCGGGGCGGGGGCGAGAGCGGCGCCGCCCGCCGACGGCGACGCGCAGGTGCTCACGCTGCACCACCTCCAGGTCTCTCCACTAGGACCGCTATTCGTTTAAAAGAACGACGCGGGTCTCATGTTCGTTAAAAACCTTGATTTTTCATAAAAATTGCGAAAGTTCCAAATTTTTTTGGAAGTCTTTCTAAAATGTTAAAGACATTTTTCTCTTCATGAAATTTGGTCCTTAAAGATAGATTTTGAAATAAGATAATGTTCAAATTTTTTGGAAATTTGTGTACTTAAAAAAAAAATTCAGGAGTTGAGCGCACCGTGGAGTAATCCTCCGTTATTAAACACCCAGCACCCCCTAGGGGCCGCTGGGTACTGAAGTCAAGTCAGGGAATCACCGACAAGTAGCGTCCTCGCGCTCGCGTCTCGCACGCGCCCTGCGTCATCTACCCATTGGGAAGTAATAAGGATAGGGGTAAGATTTAGGACGCTTCACAGGGGTTGGATTAGCCCTTGTGAAGCACGCAAACTCGTTTTGTCGTAACAAATTTCGCATGAGGTTCAAACCCTCATTGGTGAAATGCAAGCGACTTCGCCAAATTACGTTTCGCGTAATTTTGGGTGAAAGTACAAGCGAGAAAGTACTTGCTGCTTGAGGACCATTAGTTGGTACTGTAATAGCTATTAACTTACCTAGAAATGTTATGAGTGTTATTACTGCAGATGCAATAAATTAAAAATCGAGGCGGAGCGTAGCGGAGCAGAGTCGAATTTGGACGAGGCAGTAATAACACTAACATTTCGTGGTATGTTCAGATTTCTCTCTGTCACCAAAAAATCTCAATTCTTTTGGAGAAAATGTACGACATTACTGCGATATGAAACATACGAATTCTGTTGTTTGCGGCACGATAATCGACAGTGTTGGCCATTGCATGCGTTATATCTATTCAAACAATTTTCGTATACCGTGATTTGAGAAAATATGAATGCAAATAATTCTCCTTAACCTAAAGGTACTTAAAGAAATGATGTTGAACGAGGAACTTGGCGCGAATTCCAATGGCGACACCTTCAGATTGTCAATAAATATTGCGGGGAAAGAGTTTCATTTGATGGAATGCCAAAAAAATGAGGTTAATTTGCTACGCCTTGTTTTAATTACACTAATAATATTACAATTAACAATAAATATCCAAAAAACTTCTACGAGTTACTTTTATTCTGAATTGTTTGAATCTGGTATGTCTTGTACTTCGCCATGATTTTTTCTTAATAAATATTTGACGTGCAATGAATCGATAGTTGTTTATTTACGTTGCTAAGGATGTTAAAACCCGTTTCTAAGGATTTTAAATTTCTTAACCTACAAGTTAGGTACAAGTTGAAGTTGGACGTTTTCCCGCAGGGCGCGTTCGCTCTGCTCGGCCTGGGGCTTGCGATTGCCTGGGTGGTCTTCGCAGTGGGCCAGATCGCTCAAGCAAGGCAGAGGCTGTGTGGGCGGCTCAAGCTGCTCGGAAGTCGAGGACACTTCGGTCTTCTCGACAGCCGCTTCAAGAAACAGCCCATCCGGCCGACAGCTCTCGCTGCCTCCAAGACTCGTGCTCCGGAAAAAGATACTGTACTTTTTTGAAAGTTCAATTTAAGGTATTAGAACCGTATTTTATGTACGCTAATGGAACTAAACAGTGGCTTCATGAAACTGAGAAGGTGTCTGTTTGCAAGCAATTTTAAATATTTGTAACCCCAAGGTAAGTTACTTACTGTGGGTATTCTATGTGGCCACGATATTTCGTTTCTTTTTTAAATACCAATATTTTATTAACATATTGAAATCGATTTTGCTAAATATCTAATAATTGCAAGTTTTTAGTGAAAAAGTTTTCAAAAATATATAATCAAACCAGAACATCATTTTAATTAATGAATCTCACAATAAAATAATTCATTAATTTTATTGCATAAAGGAACACACTCAGCTCACACATTTTTTACAACTAGGGATATCGGAGTCTGACATGTATCGTCTTCTATATTATTTCAGTAGTATACATACCTTTGCGGCTCTCACACGCAGCCAACCTTTATAAATGAGGTCTCTAAAAAAAGAGAATTTTACGGAGACGTGACAAATTGCACTTTGACTTTAAAAATATGACGAATTTGTTGAAAAATAACGCATCTAAATATCCATGTTAAATGCAATCCGTAGCACTCAATCAGCTATATCATAAAAATAACTCCTAAACAAAGCGTTCTAGGGCCTTACAAAATGTTTGAAGCCGAAGACTTCAAAGAAACGTTTTTCACACCTTAATCTATAGAATTATATATTCTTGGATATTCTATTAAACTTTTGCTGGTTTGGTACTTCATGATACTATCGATGCCACCTATATTACAAACCTTCGTGATTGTGGGCATCTTTGTGACGTCACGATTCGAAGAGTTATATTGCACTATGTTAAATTATTTACGCTTTCTGGGTACATCGTTGTTTGCGCAGACTGACGAGGTTTATTTGCATAATTATTAATTCAAGATTTGCTCTTGCAGCAACAACTATAAAAACTATTAACAGTTGCTTGATTCGGATGATTGTTTCTTATGCATGTAGTGAAAACGTTCATTCAACGTTTTCTCGAGGTCTACAAGTGCTGTGTACCTAATTGTGGAGGGATGTGGGTTTACAGTGAAGAATGAAGACGTGTCTTGTTTGGTTTGGTTTGTGTTTTATCTGTACCAGTATTTTCGTTATCAGCAATGATTTGGTGAAACTATACAGTCAGCGTGTTCAGGCACCTAGCTTTTTCAAGAGTAAAGAACTTTTTTAAATATTTTTGTGACTATCACAAAAAGACGGAAAGATAACTGTAAAGAATATTGAATAATTACTTCAAATATTTTCAAGGAAGCGTTGTGAATCGTTCCAAGAAATTCCTCGATAATACTGAATAAAACGTTATTGAAAATTTATTTTCAACATTAATTACATTGTTTTGTATTTTTGATATTATGTTAGTACATAGAAAGTTACTTTTATTCATTTTAAACAAATAAATACGTTTCGTTAACAACTTTCCCTCTTAGAATGGAAATAGAAGGATAGGGAAGAGTGTGGGGTTTAACATGCGAGAGTTCTCGCACGGGTACGAGGAGTTAGTAGGGAAAACTTGTGCTATAGCACAGCAGAAAGAACAACATTTTTAAATTAACTAAAGTAAAATAACTTGATAGAAATGAACAACAAAAATCAAAACGCGCTAGTCTACAATACTACGTGAATTAATTTGAAAAAAACAACTAAATTTTAAAGTATAGAAAGAATAACGGAGGTCACTCGAAAGTTACCAACAATCACAATCCTGACTCACGATTTAAGTGTTCGCAGTATGTGGAAGTCTATATCAATGACCAGCTATAAACGCATATTGAAAATAATGCACCTTTTGATATTAAACTTTTGGTGTCGGTTTGCTAAGATATTCTATATGTAAGCATTGTTTGAGCAACATTCCCATGTACCGAAGTGAAGTTTAGCCTATTGAATTATTTCTAATAGTAACAAGTGGTAGTTATTACACAAAGGTGAAAATAAGATATATTATGTTTTGTCTGGGTATTGCCTTTCTTGAGATACGTAAGAACACAGGAAATAATCCAATATATTTTAGTACAAATAATTTTTCAATTTTCGCACCTCAGCAAGCTGGCACCAAAACCCCCTCTTTTCTTCACAACAAATCCAGGAAAGTTAAATATTATTGCAACGAATAGGTATGTACTTGCCCGATCCTGTATTTTTGCATGGAAAACTTTACTTGGCTTTCTCAAAAGTAAAAAAACTTTTCTAATATTTTTGTGACTATAAGGGAAAGCGAAAAGCTGTCAAAGATTGAATGTAATTACTTGTTGTAATGTTGTTTTTAAGGAAGTGTGAATTGTTTGAATAACATTTATCTTTAATACTGAATAAACCTTTATTAACATTTTTTCATCATAAATTGCATTTTTTTAAATTTTTGTTTGATATTCTGTAAGTACGACGTTACATTTATGCATTATTTAACAAATAAACAAGTTTTATTAACCACGTTCCTTTTTAATGGAAAGGATAGGGAAATGGATCGGCAAAAGGTCGAGATTAACATGCAAGAGTTCTCGCCGAGGTGAATTCCAAAAGTTCGTCCTCCGTATAAAATACATAGGTAGATGAGTACCTAGTTCATGAGAACTATTAGGATAACAGGGCTTCCTTTTTAATTGAAATTCCTTTTTATTCCATGAGGGGCCTAGTCCTCGCCTGAATGTTTAACTAAGATATTTTTGTAATGCCTTATTTAAAGATCATGATTTCAGGGATAAAAAATGTGATTTACTAAGAGGAGAACGCATTTTTCTGTATTCCTCTAAAGTAAACACGTTAATGTAATGCATTAAAATAGCAAGCTGCAAATGTAACGTTAAAATATTCATGACCTGCATTGACATTTCGTATAAATGTTAAATTGGTTCAATTTTTATTTAGATACTTGGCTGTCCGGAAGACGTCGCATTTTAGGCACAGATGTCAACGTTTTGGCCGTAATTATGTGGCCTTCCTCAGGGCGAAATGCGTAGAGGTGAAATGCGCGCGAGTTTGTAAAAAAGTAGATTCCCCTCCACCTAGCTGCCAATTGGTCGGGCGATAAGGTCGCACGATATACACCTCTACTGCTCATTTTGCCCTGAAGAAAGTCCCAGTAGATGCGTCTTCTGGGCAGCCAAGGAGTCTATTGATACCGACCGCAGAACCTTCGCTTTCAATTTGTATTTATCGCTTTTACGAATCATTTTTCAGAATATCACCCTGTTCGTCATTCTTTCTTATTATAGATAATAAACAATTTTGAGAACATCAATCTGGCAATGGCATATACATTTGCCAATAATGTGATTCTCTAAAATGTTTCCACGGGGATAAGCCGAATTGTTTTGTCGTCCCACAATGGAACTATAAGGGTAAACCTCATATAGGATTGTTTTGGTACGATAAGCTTTACACTATAAATCCTATTTCTATAGATTCCTCAAATCTGTGGGGAACAAATACCGATATTGAGGCTGATTTATGAAAAGTAGTGAGCTGGTAAACGTACTTACATACTCAGGCTCCCGAAAATGTTGTAAAATATCTTTCAGATACGGCAATGAAAGAAGAGGAAAATGAAGAACCATTATTTATTGAGGTAAAAAGATTTAATATTTTCACTCAATGATATTTTAGTTCTGTGAAAATATGAGGCTGCATGCTCTTCTTAAAACATGTTCTCTGTCCGCCTCTGTCTCTGTCTCTGTCCGTCCGTTCGTCGCTCCGTTCGTTCGTTCGTCGGGGTACTTTACATGAAGCCCCTGGGACATTTCAGAATTTTCACAAAAAACAAGGATCCAAATTTTTTCTTTAAATTTCTTTTAAGAATATAGTGAAATACTCTTACAAAGGTGACATAGGCCCAATTTTCACGGTTGACTGAATTTTCAAAAGTTTCAATTTTTTCGAAGTCTCCCAACAACTACAAAATTAAACTTAAGGATTTTACCTGCCACTGAAATGTGTCGTCTATAGCGAGTCCATTTTATTGAGGCCATGTACATTGTTTTAAAAATTTGAATAGTTTTCCCACAATATTGCGATTATAATGTGCAATTTAAAAAAATACAAAAAGATTTTCTCATAAACTGCTCCAATTTTTTTCTTTTAGCTGTTGCTAGGGAAAGTGATAAATGTACTCTATAAGATGATATGAAAGCCGTATTGCTCTCTTCTTTTGTTTTTCCAAAAATTACAAAAATGTAATTTTTTGACTTGTCTCTCACGTTAATATATACATTCGCGGCAATTTGTATACATTCATGCATTTATAAGTACATATATTGTCAGAAAATGTTTTTCAAAAACGCAATAGTTTTCAGTTAAAATGAACTGAAAATTCCGCAGTTTCATAAACAGTCAAACGCCATTTTCTCAAAAATAGTTCCAATTTTTTAAAAAAACTTTTCGAACGGATAGTGCTAATTGCACTGTTTAAGATGACAAAATTAATCTTGATAAATTCCTTTCTTTTTTTAAAAATTACACAAAGTAATATTTTCTGAAAGATGTCTCACGTCTTTAATATGCGCATTTACAGCAATTCGTAAACACTATTGTATTTGTGAGTTAACAATGTTCACAAATTCAATATTAACATTACAGCAATGCTTAAAAAATAAATAGCTCAAATTACAGCGATGAGCACTCCATGCCCATCATTGTCCTGCACGTCAGAAATATTTACAGTTATGGGCACTACCTTTTGTTTGCTTATGGTCTGATCTGAGCAAGTAAAAATACACTTAAAAACGTAGACTATAATCCTGGCTACACTACACATAGAGCGAATAGCAAATAAAAACAGACGAATTGACTTAAATCCTTAATAACTGGACGCACCTCTGCCACCAAATCCACAACGTTTCGACGCACAGGCTATCGAAGTTTACCTACGGTCTCTGCGGGACCACTTTCCGTTCATATTGCGGGTTTGCAAACTTAAAGACTTACACGACAGAGAGATTACATGCAGAGGGCCCTCGCTGTTTGCAAATCTTATTATTAGGCCCCTTACAGTTGCTATGTCCATCGCTTTACCGGTGTCCACGACTGAACCGGTTACTCTATATAAATTCTTATATTTAATTCAATTTTTTCATTGTGAATTAACCTTGAACTATATGACTGGCGATGGTTTGCAGAGAGACGAAGATTGCCAGTATTTCGTACGAGGAATGCACGGCATTCTGGCGCTGATGTTTTTGGTGGAGATGCTCCTGATAGTGATTGTGTTTCATGTACCGCCCATCAGGCATCTATTTATGG